TGGGTGGGTGCCGGGCCCGGAGGAGCCCAGCACATGGCAGGGCTCTGCTCCAAAACCTTCAAACAAATCAACGTTTCTGAGCCCCGGCTGATTTACCCCATCCAAGGGAAGCTGGGCAAGGGAAACCTTTCCTGAACGATTTTCCACAAGCTGTGGCCACCATAAAGGAAAGTCACCAACCACTTCTCCTTCACTGTGTTCAAAGAACGTAACACTCCTCCTGGATTTATCATATGATGGTGTATCTTGAATCATTTCCCACTTGCTTTTCCTTTCAAACCTCTATCAAACCACACTCCAAGGCAGCAAAGTCCTTGCCTTGGCCGAGCCACAGCATAGCTCCACCCTCATCAGAGCTAGCGTTTACCATTGCACTCTGGCCAAGTCGACATGGCAGTAAAAGCAGTTGCTCAGCCCAAATGTTCAGCTCCTAATCTGATGAGAGATACAACGAGAACTATCAGTGTGGGAACTGCTAAGGATCCAGGAAACATGACTCTTGTACTGCTTTTCCTTACAAAATTACTACCAAGTCAGAGAATGTTCCCAGAGCTGAACAGCACATGTCCTGTTGTTGAGCCGAGATTACAGGATTTCGTTTCCATAAAAACAGAGACCATGAGGTCAGCCGCGAGCAATCTCCAGTGCTGTATTTTTCACTCTCTAGGCACAAACACACCCAGTTTCCCCTGCTAGTACAAGTCAGACATCATTATTTCCTGTGTTAAGTCATGCTATAATGAGAACTATCACTAGGGGGGCAGGGAAATATCCCCTCCCTCATCCCAGCCAATGCTTACAAATAGTGAACAGCCTCCAAGAAATTCATGCCAGGTTTTACTCCAAATCCAGTATTTGTCAGAAAATTACGTCCTTACCTAGACCTAAATACAACACAAATATAAGCAAAGGCTTTCATTGTGTGCTTCACCACTGATGCCAAGGATCTCACCTGACACTCCCATTGCTGGTCTCCCGTAGCAAAATTTAAAACATTATTTGAAGGGACTGTTACATTTTTTCAAAACCCATCACTGACTGTGCAATGATGACTTCAGGATGTGTCACCCCAGGAGCAGCAACATAAACACTACCACTGACTGATGGCAAAGCAGACCTAAGGTCATCAGAAACGTGTCCTTTCCTGGAATCTGTGTGTTTCCTCCAGCAACACGACAGGCTTGAATTGTATTTTTACCTCTGCATAAATAAAGTGCCCACTGTTCATATTGTAGCCTAGTATGCAATTTTTATCTTCACCTTCCTACCGTGTCCTTTGGGAGTCTAGAAGTGAGTGCAAATCAAGAATGCAATTTCTGTTGTGTCTCAGGGCTGAAATTAAGCTGTCATAGCACTAGTTATGGTTGTACCTGCAAGAAATGGGTTGTGTCCAAGCTGCTCAGTGTTAAAAACAAAAAAATAAAAAAGTCATTGCATTTAAAGCTTTGCCTGTGGCTTCAGCACTGCTTTGAAAGGGTTGGGGGAGGTGGGAAGGCAGGGCTGCCACATGAGTGATACTATCCTCTAGTAATACTGCTTTTAAAACCAACCTTGTTCTCACTGCATGTGCTGTTCATAACTGAATTCTTCACACACTAACATTTCTTTCTAAAATTGCCAGTCCCGAACCCTCCTGTGATTGCCTGAGGAGTAGGGCCAGGTTAAAACCCAAGCTGCCAAGACAACTGCTCAGTTGCAGGCTCAAGCTAAACTCACTCAAGCAACGTTCACCCTCTCCTAACTTTCCTAACACCCTGGAACTACTGTTCTCTCATCACCTACCTGCTCTCTGCCTCAAACTCTCGCTGGCTTTGTGAACACCTGCTCAAGCACCATCCTTACACAGCCAGGCAGAAGCAGCTGCAGCTCCCAGGTGATTTCCACCTCCAGCAAACTCTTTCCCACTGGAGCAGCATACCCAAGGTGTGCCCAGAGGGGTAAGTGATGCTGAGAGCAGCTACATTCCTCCGAACTGGTGTGTTGGATGGGAAGCACTAGGGAATGAAGGCAGGCAGTGCATCAGAGAAATACACGGGGTTTCCTCTTACACTGTCCCCTGTGGCTAAGACACATTGTGATTTACCCTTATCTTTCACAGAAGGTGTAACAAGAAGTTATGACCCCCATTTACAGATGGGAAACAGGGCTGGGAGCTGGAAATGAAGTCAGAAAGTGAGTCAACATCAACAAAATGTTGGACTTCAGAGCTTCCTGTATCCACACAACCTGTGTTCAGGGTACTCCTGGCTCCACACAACCTGTGTTCAGAGTACTTGCTCAAGGCATCTTTCCCTCTTGTCAAAGCATCGTTTACCAGTTACAGACCAGCTCCCTAGAAGGGTGGTTTAACCCACACACACTTGACACTCAGGCTGGATGGATTAACTGTCCACCTGTCCCCTTCAGGGCTGTAATCTCAGACTGGCTGCCAAAGCAAGCGATCCAAGGAGCGATCCAAGCTCATTTCATAGTACCATAGTACCACTGATGAAAAGCACCATTATTTACAGAAGACAGTGTATGTCAGAGAAGCGATATGAAGCTCCACTCACTTGTAAGGCACACTTACCTGTGCACATTCCAGAGAGGGACTTGAAACTGCAGAGTGATGACAGTGCAGTGTGTCCTCTGTGCTGTGCCGCATGTGCTGTGCAGCTCTTTCTTCGGGTGAATGCAAGAAAGAAAAATTCAGCCAGACCTTTAGGTTTCAGGCAATGGCAGTAAATCACAACATGCAACTTCCCCATTCAAGGTCCAGCTTCACAGTTGTTGAAAGGATCTATTGCAGCAAAACAAATTTGGTTTCTGACATAAGATGTAGGACACAACTTTGCAATGAGGAGTGAAATCACCACACCAGAGCATTATCACAGACAATTCCAGCAGAAGAGATGAGAAACAGTAAAGTGATAAAACCAATACTTATCAACACAGTTTATATGAATCAAGAAATTACACTAAGTGTATGACTCACTGCAAACTACATATGCCTTTGATATTTGCCAGCAGGGCTTATTCTGCCAAAGGGTAATGGCATCCCTATGCTTCAGGTTTTCATTTCAAATTGATGTTGCTGGCAGTGGAGTACAAACAGGGGAGGAGGGGGCAAATGCAATTTGTGAGGTTTCATCATCAGTCTTTGGTCACTCTTCTGTATAATACCCCAGCATAACTGAATGTTACAAAAAAAACTAATAAAGAGGGAACACTAATGTTCACTACTAAGTTTTCTACTCTGCTTGGCTGTAGATTAAAGCAGCTGCCCAGCTCAGGGTCTTACCGGCAGGGCAGGAGCATCCAGATGGCACACGCGACCATGCAGAGATCGTCAGAGGCAACCTGTCAGCAGCACAAGCTACATCTGATTCATACAAAGTGATGGACAGCAGCTGCTTCCAGCTCCAGTGGAGACTCAGCCCAGGGAGCTCGTGTGCAATGGTTGTTAAATCTCCCTCCACAGGGTCTGCTTCGGTATTAAATAAGACAACAGCTGCAAATAAGAAATGGATTCGGTTTACTTATATAATAGGATTTAACACTAAACTCAGCAGCTGCTTTTTCCAGAGTAAAGGTTTGTGATTTCTTTGACAATAAGGAGGCTTTTTCTTTTTTCTTTTTTTTTTTTAAGTGAGTGATGCCAATGGATATACATAAAGAAATGCACACAAAATGGAGGTTACAGTACTTTGCAGTGAAAGCTGTTTCCTAATAGGTTTTGAAGCACTTCTGGAGCCAGTCAAGCACAATTCAGATTTTCACGCCCCTCCAGTTGCTCCAGAAATGCTCCCTCTCCTCCCTGCCTAAGCTATCTTCTGAGAAGCCGAGCTCCCCAAAGGATCCTCAACAAGAGCTACACAAGAAATGCTTCTCCAGTACCTCAGTCCCTCCACTTCCATTTTCCCTGACCGATTCCTCCTTCAGTAGCTTTGAAAGGAAGAGGTAAGAACACAGCTTTTTACGTAAAAGCACCCTCAATGTAGTAAACCACGTTTTTGGTACGAGCAACCGCTGGCATCGCTGAGAATGAACAAAGACAAATTTATCGCTTGTAAGAATCGTCTGAAGCCACCTTAACTAAAGATAATAATTTACACTTAGTAAGATTTTCTTATTTTTTTTCATCTATTTTTCACACCATAATTCAGTCTCCGTAGAGACTGTCAAAAATTGCCAATGCCGACTATATTTCAAGTCGTCATGGCGGGGTATTGGGAAAAGTTTTCAATTAGCAATAATCGCGCCTCGGATTAACCTCATTGGCTACGATACTGCCACTGCGCAAAGCTGACATAGTGCTCCCGTCGCTGCCGGCCCTGGCCCCGGGGCCGCCGCCGAGCTCGGGGCGAGCCCCGCCACCCGCCCGCTCCGCCCCGCATCCCCCCGGGCAGTGCCCCCCGCCCGCCCCGAGCCCCCCGCGCCCCGCCGGGACCGGAGCGCCTCGTTTTTTCCCGTCGGTGCCGAGCCAGGGACGGCCGCGAAGGATGGTGGGAGAGGAGTATGCAAAGTAGGAGCGACGTCAGAGCGGCAGTTCGGTACTGAATGAAGGGTCCCCACCGCCCCCGCGTCCCCGCGGGACTCCCGCCTGGGCACCCCCGGGTCCCCAACCGGCCCCGAGGGGCCAAAGCCGGCGGGGAGCCCCATCCCAGCCCCTTCCCCACCACCTGCTCCCGCCAAAAACGTGGTTTATTAAACTGAGGGCACTTTCAAGTAAAAAGTTTGGTTCTTGCTTTTTTCTTTCAATGCTGCTGGAGAAGGAATGGGTCACTGAAAACGAAAGTGGAGAGGATTGAGGTCGTCAAGACAGGTTGCTCCTTCAAAGATCACATCACTTTAATGACAACCTGGCAAGATACACTGTTCGCCTATTTTTTTTAATGTATCTTTCTTTTAACCACGGAAATCAGCCTCTAAAGAGGCTCTCAAAAATTGCCAATGCCGACTATATTTCAAGTCGTCATGGCGGGGTATTGGGAAAAGTTTTCAACTAGCAATAATCGCGCCTCGGATTAACCTCACAGGCTACGATACTGCCACTGCGCAAAGCTACCTACACCTCACAGCCTCCCGGCCCCACGGCCACCGCTCCTCCGGGGAGGTCAGAGCGGCCCCCGGTGCCCCCCGCGCCCCGCCGGCCCGCGCCCCCCGCCCGCAGCCCACGCTCCACCGGGGCGGCGGGGATGGACCGGGGGGCGCTGGGGGGATGCACCGGGAGGCGGCGGGGCGGCCGGGACACGCGGAGGGTGCCGGGAGGGCGCTATGGTAATGAGCGCCAGGGAAAGGGCTGCTCTGAGCCGGGGGCATCGCCCAAAAATCGCCCTGTCCCATCTCGGCTGAGAGCGGGGGGGTCCCCTCGGGGGGCGCCGGGGTGAAACGGGGTCTGCCGGGTGCCACCTGCCCTTTGCACCAAAGCAAAGCACCACCCAAGGGTTTAAAAACACGTTTAAACTATTAAGATAAAAGGCACTAAAAGTGATTTAGACTCACGGATCTGCCAAAAAGAGGGTCGCGCCCCACAGCTCCGCAGGGCCCAGGGGCGGAGGGACAGGCAGGGTGGCACCGCACAGCAAGTGAGCAGGATGTGCTTCTTCCCTGTGATCACAAAATTACACCCACTGCTGGGCACAGGCTCGGCTCACCTGGGCTTGGAAATAGCTGCAACGGACAAGAAAAATGGATTAGGAAATCGTGCAATGTTTTGAACTGATTAGCAAGAGCTCTTTGGCAAATGCATTCAAAAAGCAGTCCAAATTATTAGAAAGAGCCCATTGCCTGTAAAACAGGTGAACATCTATTGTCAAGCTGCTACCATGCAGCAGATTGGCCGTCCTCCTATGTATTTGTTCCTCAGAAAAATAAGGCTCCTTTGAAACAAAAAACCCCAAACACAAAAACCTCCTTATTGCCAGGCAATTGGTACAGCTTATCAGGTGATTATCGAGACTGAAACGAAGCAGAAAGGTACTGTGGGTTTCTGCCAGGGCACACACAGTCAGCAGCAGGCAGGTCAGCACAGCCCTGACTCCTGAGCTAGAGGAGATGTCTTTAACAGCCATCAGTTCATTTTTCTTCTGTTACTTGTTGAATCACATTATCAGCCTAAAATCTGTTCACTGAAAACAAAATACATCTTTTATAAGGACAAGCATTTACAACGCATTTTATCAAAGCTGTGACATGCATTTGTATCAAATCAAATCGGATTTTAATCTTGTACATTTCCATGAGGGCTGCCATGGAGTTCCCAGCGTTTTCAGATTCACTCAGGTGTCAGGATGTTAGGGACACCCTTTTTCTCCCCCCTCCCCTCCCTTTCTTTGAAGCATGGGAATTGTAGTCTTTGTGCTTAAGGCTTAGTTTCCCCGTGAACTACATTTCCCAGAAAGCTCCTCTTCCGGCAGTCAGCCCTTTCCTTCCGCGGTCGGGCACGGCAGCAATGAAAGGTGAGTTTCCAGGCATTATTCACTGTATCCCTCTTATTTCATTACCCGGGTTTAGTTCGGCTGTTACCCCGCACCCCCCCGTTATCACAACACAAGGGACCGGGATGACATGGGAGTCCCTCTGGATTTCTGGCCTGTAACCGTTTGTAGAATCCTGTTTATCTTCTACCTTAACCTTGCCTGATCTTTTTCTGTGGAGCATCTTGGCTGTGCTTTAAAAAAACCCTCAAGCCTCAGCTTTCCATAGGTACGTTTAAAGAGTTTCACTTATTATGTACAGTAGTTATTTTTTTAATCCTAGAACGCTGATTTTTAAAGCAGCTTTGCATTTGACAGGAAATATTCTGTCCCTTGTAACTTTCTCTCCTCCACAGTCCTTCTCTGGTTCATAGCAGCTCTCTAATGTATCTGCCTTTTTTGCCTTCTCTCTCCTGTAGGCCAACCCCTATTACATTTCTATTTCATTTCCTCTCTGAACATTTCCTTCTGAGAGATATTTTGATGATAACAGGCAGGAATGAAGAGTTTTCATCAGTTAAAGCTATTTAATTACCATCAAACTGGCTTAACAGCCTTCGGGGAGCATCATGACAGAAGTTATTCTCAGAGCAAATTAGTTTATTGGGAGACTTTGTCCCTTCTAATTAATTCATATGGGAAATTAAACCTCTTCGGAGGGAATGCCCAACACAACTCCTGCTAAACAGCAAAACAAGGCAAAAATCATTGCAAACAGAATCCACTGCTTAGATTTAAAAAGCAATACAGACTAGGGAGGCAGTCCAGTCTTCCCTGTAATTCAACTGATGATTATGCAAAGCCTTGAGCGCTGGAGATTAACTGAGACAAATCAATTCTTTGCCACTAGCATCTATTAAATATCATGATACTTACAGCTGAATATCCAAGCTTTAAATGTATTTAAATATTGCTCCATTTACTGTAAGAGCTGGTACTTGAGGGGAGCTGGAGGCTTGAGGCAAGGCCACTTAGATGCACCAGGTAATCTGGCCTGTTGCAATCAGCTTTTAGAGATCATGCCCTTTTATTAGTAATTAAAGTCCTTCCTCCACCTCCCACATCTTGTACGAGCCCCCTTGCCAAGGGAGATGGTGGGAGGCAAAAATACCAAACAATCAATCTCAGTACTGTCACTTTCAAACCTTTTTGTACTTTGTATCCAAAACTGTAGAGAGGCCCAGAAAAAATAGTTTCAAAATAATGAAATGGAGAAAGAACTGCAGACTGCTAGAAATCCCAAACAAAATCAAAATCCAAACCAATCCACTGCTGCCTCAACAGGTCCTGCACACAATTCCAGGCTACTTAACAGCAAAGCCATCCTGCCTGTCCCTAGCAGGGAATGCTGTTCCTCCCTTTAAGCAGGGTGTCAGTCCTATTCTTACCTGCCAGGCAGTTGTTTCTGCCCCACACCCATTTGGGTGATCCCTTCTTTCTCAGCCCGTTTGTGCTGGAGAAGCAAAGCAGTACCCCTTCATCTCTCCACTGACTCTGGAGAGGGGGCACCCGCAGAACAGGAGATGTCAGAGGCATTTAGAGAGTGTCCTAATAATCTTCAGTCCCATTTCAAGGCCTGTTCTGCACCAGGCCTTTTGTGAAAAACAAAACAAAACAGACAAAACAAAACAAAAACCCAGAAACAAACCAAAACCCACCTCAAAGGAGTAACTCCAGTCAAGGCCTTTGTCCTGAAAAAAACTCAACATTTCAAGGTTGTTTTTCTTTCCCTTCCCACAACACATGTTAAGGATGGGGTAAATAGAAAGCACTGATTTGGAGCAGGCGGAGTGTTAAAAAAGCAGAGCAAGGGTCTCTTCTGGGGAGGAAACAGCCAGCGCCTCTGGGGTGGGGAGCTTGGCCTTCCTGCCATTTCCTGCACATACCTGGGAAAGACTTTGCATGCTCAGGTTTTTCTGGGCTCTTTACAACTCCTCTTGGGC